TTCTTTTTTCTCCTTTCTGCCATTGGAGCCTGTTTTCAATGGAAACCAAACTGTGCATGCACAGGCTGGTGGCTTCGCGATGCCCGAGCTGAGTGAATGTCCCAGCTGGAAATACCATCCTTCCCCCTGTGACAGGACTGTGGGTTGTTTTTTTTGTTTTTATTTTGAAACTTCTTGATGAAGGTTATGAAACAATACAAGAACCCTGTGGCCAGGGACGCGGTGATTCCAAGCACACTCTAACGCAAGTCACGTTCATACAGTTCTGGAGCTGACAGAAGTGTGTTTAAAGAGTGCAGCAACCCCACACTGCTGGTCCATTAGAATTCTCTTTTCTGTAATAGTTTGTGTTCACTTCCGCAGATCTAAAACACACACCTGGAAGGAAAGATAGAGAGCCTGTTATCGTGAGAGATAATACACAGATATCTGTTGAGTGGAGGTCTTTGGCAAACTGTGGCCCATGGGCCAAACGTAGCCCCCACCACTTAGTTTTATAAATGAAGTTTTAGTAGAATACAGCTTGGCCCTTTTGTTTATGTATTGCCTCCGGTTGCTTTTGCACTTCAACGTCAGAGCTCAATAGTTGTAACACAGAGCATATGGCCCCACAGGAAAAGTTTGCTGACCCCATTTCAGAGTGATGCCATTAAATTCTTTGATAATCAAAGAAAGTTTAATTCCCTTTCTCTTCTACTAAAAATAAAGTGGAAAAGCAAAAACATATTAGGAAAGAAGAAAACAAAATCACTCAGACTTCTTAAGATACTTGTCAAAGTTCTCAACCTTATGGATTAGAAATTTTTTTTAAATTTTCAATCTCATATTATAAGTCTTACTTTCAAGCCATATGTCTCTTCCTCTGGTGGCTCAAACCACATACCACACACACACACACAAAGTTATCTCTAAGATTTATAGAAAACTCCAACACTTCAACAACAAAAAGACAAACAATCCAATTAAAAAATGGGCAGAAGACATGAATAGACAGTTCACCAAAGAGGATATTCAGGCGGCCAACAAACACATGAAGAAATGTTCACGATCATTAGCCATTAAAGAGATGCAAATCCAAACAACAATGAGATACCATCTTGCCCCAGCACTAATAGCAAAGTTCAACAAGTCAGAAAATGACAAATGGTGACAAGGATGCGGAGAGATTGGGACTCTCATACACTGCTGGTGGGACTGTAAAATGACACAACCACTGTGGAAAGCAGCATGGCAATTCCTTAAAAAGTTGGAATTACAAATACCATTTGACCCAGCCATTCCCTCGTTGTTGTTGTTGTTATGTGCCACTGAGTCGGGCCCAACTCATAGCGACCCCTCCTTGGGTTTCCGAGGCAGTATCACTATGGAAGTAGACTGCCTAACCTTCTTTCTGGGGAGTGGCTGGTGGGTTTAAACCACCAGCCTTCTGGTTAGCAGCCAAGTGCCTTAGGCACTATGCTACCAGAGCTCCATTACTAGGTATATATCCTAAAGAAGTGAGAGCCAGGACAAGAACAAATATATGCACACCCAATGTTCATCACAGCACTATTTACAATAGCAAAAAGATGGAAACAACCTACGTGCCCATCAACAGAAGAAAAAATAACCAAACCATGGTACATACACACAATGGAATACTATGCAACCCTAAAGAATAATGTAGAATCTGCAAAACACCGCATAACGTGGATGAACTTGGAGGAAATTGTGCTGAGTGAAATAAGTCAATCACAGAAGGACAAATACTGTTATTAGTCCATTATTGTAAAAGTCAAGGAAAAGTTTATATATGGAAGGATACTTTCTTTATTGGTTACTGGGGGGCGGGGGAACACTTCAAAAATAACAAATGAATAAATTGTAAACAAAGATGAGTCAGATCAAATTTGGGCACAACCTTCTAAGTCTCAAAGAACCAGTTAATGCAGACAATCATGCAACAAACACTGACTGAGCAGCTATTATGTGCTGTTTGCTGCTCTAGGGCTGGGTGTCAGCAGTGAACAACCTAGGTCCCTGCCACATGGAGAGAACATTCTAGAACAGTGGTTCTCAACCAATGTGAATCTGCCACTAGGCAAATTGACACTATCTGGAGACACTGTTGGTTGTTACAACTTGGAGGGAATGGTGCTGTGCTCCTTCAATCTAGTGGATGGAGACCAGGGGTGCAACTCAACATAGAACGATCCATTCACAAATGCCAGTAGTACCAAGGGTAAGGAAAGGATAGACAATAACCATGTAAACAGATGCTATGATGTGAGATTAGTGGTATGAATGAATAAACAATGGAAACAGACAGACAATGGTGGGGTGGAGGGCTCACTTCCACCAAGTGCTTTATGTGGAAGGTGTTTCCAGGAGATAACATTTGTGCCCACCCCCCATCCATCAGGTTGTCATACTAAGGTGTCCTGCATGCTGGAACCTGTGCCACCAGTATTTCAAGTATCAGCAGGGTCACTGAGAGTGGATAAGTTTCAGCAGAGCTTCCGGATTCAGGCACACTGGGAAGAAAAGCCTGGAGATCTACTTCTGAAAATTAGCCAGTGAAAACCCTATGGATAACAACAAAATTTTGTCTGACATAGTGGTGGAAGATGAGACCTTCAGTTGGAAAACCAAAAACTAACCTCACTGCCACTGAATTGATTCCAACTCATAGCAACCCCCATTAACTTTCCAGGGCTATAAATCTTTACAGAAGCAGACTGCCTCATCTGTCTCCCATAGAGTGGATGGTGTGTTCAAACCACTGACCTTTTGGTTAGCAGCCAAATGCTTTGACCACTGCACCATCAGAGCTTCTAGGTTGGAAGAAACTCAAAATACACAGTGGCTGCAACAATGGACTTGAGAATACCAAAGATCATGAAGATGACGCAGGACTGGGCAATGTTTCGTTCTGTTGTGCACGGGGGTCATCATGAGTCAGAGCCAACTCGATGGACACTAACAACACCAACAACATGTGTGGAGCCCTGATTTTGCATAGAGAAGGTACATGTTCAGTGTTATCTGTGGGACAAGGTTCCAATCGAAGGCAGCAGCCTGTGCAAAGGCCCTGGTGTGGAGCATAATCACTGATGTTAAAAGAACTGCAAAAAGGCAGCATGGTTGGAGCTGCATGAGTGACGCTATCAAACATCTTCTGGAGAATTCCTGTCAGGGATTGTGGACTCTGTTCACACTACCCAGTGTAAGATACATCCGTTCTATCTGGTGGCTTCCCAAGTATGTGGTTATGGACAACAGCCCAAGCAAAGGTGGATAGAGATGGCTGCCTGGGCTCCCTGAGCTGTAAGAGCTGAAGAGCAAACTCCGTTGAGCGCCAGGAACCAGCCATCTATCTGGTGCCCCCAAGGCTTATAAACAAAAACTGAGCAGAGTCAGCTCTGGTGTAGGAGGGAACAATGAGGACAGCCCCAATGAGGGCTGGGTCTGCCCTCGGGCTACAGAAGGATACATCTTGCATCCAAGAATGATCCACAACAACAGGCTAGCCTCAGAGCTCCTGACAAACCAGACCTAAGCGCAGCACACATAGGAGGGAACATGCAAATTCAGGGCTGATGTTAGGACCCAAGAAGCCAGCTGCTGCCATTGCCAGGGGTCACAGAACCTGTGTTGACACAGCTGAGTGGATGGCTGCTCTATTTGAAATACTGGTGGCATAGCTTCCAACATCACAGCAACACATGGACTACCATAGTAGAACATACTGACAGATGAGGAGTGGACACAAATGTCCCTATATGAGTTGTCACACAGATACTTAGGGGCCATGCTGACCCTCAGCCACCAGCTAGTGTGACCTTTTGCTTCAGACATCAGGGTAACCTCAAGCTAGGGGATATTAGAAAGGACATCTCTCCTGGGGGCACTGGGATCCAGGCAACCTGAGCCTGAGCTGGGGTGCACACCTGGAGATACAAATAGTTGTCTCACCTCAGCACCAGTGACCTTTGGGGCTTGTGACTCTCTGTGGTGGGGGCCATCCTGTGCACTGCAGGGTGTTGTGCAGCAACCCTGGTCTCTACTCCCTAGATGTCCATAGCATCTACCTCCTCAAGTTGTGATAACAAAGAATGTCTGCAGACACTGCCGGATGTCCCTCTGGGTGCACAGTCACCCCAGTTAGAATCACTGATTTAACTGCAAAAATGGTGAGTAGTATGACATTCCAGGAAGGACGAAGTACTGGCCATTCCCAGATGTGGAGCCAACCCAAAAGGAACCCAGCTGGGAAGTTTCTCTCTCTGCATACACACTTGTTGGCACCTGCTAAAGAGGAGCAGTCCTATCAATGACAACAGCCCCTTGGAAACCTGGCTATCCAGTCCCTCTCAGGGCTCAGCCACTGTTATCCACCCCTTATCCCCATGCTGGTCCCACAAACCCAGAGAGCCACTTACAGAGCCGTCAGATGCGCTGGCACCAACTTTATCCCCACGTGCATTCCAGCACACCTCAAAGATGCCACCGGTGCCCCGATAGCTGTGCACAAGGCTTCCACTCTGCAAGATAAAGCCAGAGTTGCTTACAATGCGAGCACAATTTTGGCAGCTCCCTGCCCGCATCATTTACCATGAAAACCTTAAATACATGGAGAATTTCAGGAAACAACCCGGGGTGGCTGTGGGAATGTGCAGCTCAGAGCTCATAATGCCAGGGGCATGGCTGATTCACTGAGTCCACGGGCAGCTCCCAGCCAAAGATACAGCATGGCAGGGAGACCAAGGCCCATTCCCTCGAGACGCAGAAGTCATCCCACGGGCAACTTTGGCTCAAAGACTGCAGTGTGGTGAATCAGTTATTATGGCTCTTCCAGCCACGGTCTTTGTGACTCCCACCAAGTGACTGGGTTGTTTTAGTTATATGCTGTCGAGTTGAACCCGACTCATAGCGACCCCTCCTTGGGTTGCCGAGGCAATATCACTATGGAAGTAGATTGCCCCACTTCCTTCCGAGGAGTGGCTGGTGGGTTTGAACCTCCAGCCTTCTGGTTAGCAGTCAAATGCTTTAGGCACTACGCTATCAGAGCTCCTAAGTGACTGGGTAGAACTATGCAACTATAAGGTGCCAGTGACTCAACCAAGGGGAATGGATAGTTTGTGAGTAATGCAAATAAGGTACATGGCACCCTTGTGGGGGTAGGACCATGCAAATAAAGTATATGGAACTCTAACATGGGGATTGGTCAGTTTTGTCATCCTGCGAGGCTTAAAATGAGCCCTCCCAAAGATAGCAAGGGGGGATTTCACTACCCTTAAGACAGACAAGAGCCTGTAGTGGAGCACGTGCCTGGACCTGAGATCCCCACACTGAGATGATGGCAGAGAGATGGTGGCAGCAGAACTAGGAAACTGGCATGAGACACAGCAATGGGCTTGTTGGCCCACAGAACGAGAAAGCTGAGTGCCTTTAGGTAGGAGGCTTGCTGATGGAGTGGGGTACCTATTGGCAGTGCTAAAAGAGCTTTGTAATACTTGTCTGGCAGGGCGAGGCCAGGCCAAGAGGCCAAAGGCCAAAGAGAGGCATGCCTGTGGGGATGGCAGAGGGGAGGCTGTCCTCAGTGAACAATTGTATCCTGAGCATTATTGAACTTGAATTGTAACCTGTTACTTCCTAATAAACTCCATAATCTTGAGTATTGTCTGTGAGTTGTGTGTGGCCATTGCAACAAATTATCGAACCAAGCACAGAAATAGTGAGTGGTATAGAAAGGACGGTTGGTCTCAGAATTGGTAAAAAGGTTGGAGGGTGGCAGCATGTCTGGCCTCATAAGAATACGGCTTGGACTGCTGATGGTGGTTCTGCCTCCCCCTTGTGAAGGTAGAAGAGGTCAGAGGAGGATGCTGCCTCCATGCCCTTTTTGCAAGTCCCCATCAGCTTTGTGGAAACATGTTTCATCTGAGGGTCTTCATTCCTGTGATGGTTAATTTTATGTGTAAACCTGGCTAGGGTATGGTTCCCAGTGGTTTGGCCAAACACTAGACTAGTTCCTGTTCTACACTGTAATATAATCACTATCCATGATGTGATGCGACATAATGACCATCTATATAACATAATATAATGACCTCCCAAAATGTAATATAATGTGATCACCTCCAAGAATACAATGTAATGATCTTATATATAATGTCATTCCCCTCCATAGTGTAGCCTATTTGTAACATAATCAACCAATCAGTTAAAAAGAGTTTCCTTAGGGTGTGGTCTGCCTCCAGACTAAATAGTAGACGGGTTGGCAATGGCTTCCCCCAACTTGGCTGCTCTGTACCAAATAGCTTGGATGGCAGGACACCTATTCCCCTTTCCAGCCCAGTTATCTTGAGGGCCGTTCTGTGATGATAATGGGTAATGCTCGCTCATGCTTGCTCATGCCTAAGAAACAAACAATAAAGGATGAAGATGCCATATCAGGGGCTCAGAAAAGCTAAGAGAACGCTTCTAAGAAGAAGGTCCTCCCCTGGGGGAAGGGAGTTGCTCTAGGTGTCCACTGAGGGAAGACCCCACAGCCTACGTGACGCAGAGGGAAGATGGCACTGGGGCCGGGGAGCTGCCTGGGGAGTCAGGTGTGCTTAGAGCCACCTGATTGGAGCAGCTCACCAAGAGCATGAAGGGTTGCTGTTCTAAGCCTGGGTCACTGCAAACATGACCATGTGTACGTTCTCACGGGAGTCAAGGGCTTACCTGAGTATTCCAGATATGGACGCACTTGTCAAAGGAGCCACTGGCCAAGTACTTCCCGTCAGGGCTAAAAGCTACACTGTAGACAGGTTCCTGATGCTTTGTGAGTGTGTGGATGCAGACACCTCGCTCCACGTCCCAGAGTCGAACCGTAGAATCAAATGAAGCACTGGCAAAACAGTGGAGAAGGCATGACCACAGGGACACGTTGGTTTGTTCCTGTTTTTATGAGTTGTCTTTTTCGCCTAGTTTTCAAGTTGTGAGAGACATAAACTGGCAGCTTTCTTTTCTACAATGTGCCACTCAGATGTACTGACAACAAAAGCCACAGGTAGAAAACAAACCAGAAAACCAGTTGCCGGGGAGTCAGTGCTGACCCAGGCACCCCCACATGTGTGAGAGCAGAACAGGCTTTTCAATGGCTGACTTTTCAGAAGTAGATCACCAGGCCTTTCTTCTAAAGTGCCTCTGGGTGGACTCAAACCTCCAAGCTTTTAGCTAGCAACCAAGCATGCTAACTGCACCATCCAGGTACCCATAGAACACCCCTCTCCCCATTGTTGAGTGGGGCTACTAGGGAAAACAAATCAAAATCTACATCCATTTGTTTGAGTTTTCCATAGATAGGAAGGCCAAATATTTTGGTAGAGTATTTGCTAAGTTTTCTAAGATATTCCTACAACTTAAAATGCAAAATCTCTTTATCACCAAACTAAAGGAACACAGACGGCCTTACTTGGAAAAATTATCAACTGAATGTCTAATAATGTTAACCCAGCAGGAATTTAAATATAATCACATCCCAATAGACAATCACATTGCTGAGGGCTATAAATTTCAGTTTTCAACTGTAAAGAAAACTACATATTTGGTGTAGTGAATTACATGGTATGGCTTTTCTAGCCATGGTCTTTGTAACTCCCACCAGATTACTGGGTGGGACCATGGGCTTTGCTTCTGTAAAGATTGACAGCCTTGGAGTTTCAAGGCTGTCAATCTTTACAGAGGCAAACCCCAAACCACATTCACTGCCATGGAGTCCATTCTGACTCACAGCCCCGCTAAAGGACTGCCTCAGAGGGTTTCCAAGGCTGTTTGTTAATCTTCACAGACGCAAAGCCCAAACCAAACCCACTGCCGTGGAGTTGATTCCGACTCACAGTGCTCTTAGAGGACAGAGTGGAACTGCCCCAGCTGGTTTCCAAGGCTGTCATCTTTATGGAAGCAGATTGCCAGGTCTTTCTTCCTGGAGCCACTGGGTGGGTTTGAACCATCAACCTTTCAGTTAGTAGTTGAGCACTCCATTGCTGCCATCAGGGCTTCTACATCTGTCTAGGGTTGGGAAACCCTTGATAATCACTCATCCTGCCACCTGCACATCCAAGTTGAGCCAAGCAAAACAAGGCCCAGCTCCAAGCCTAACTCTGCTCTCTCTTAACAGAAGCCACCACCAAAGCAACATGTTCAAAACATGGACATATTAACGACTACCCTCCAACCAGCCTCACGGCTAAACCCATCTCGATCTCAAGTTGGCTGTCATTGGATAGCTATGTATCGTCAGTCCTTTCAAAGTGAGCTACTGCTTCCCTCAGTGGGAAGGACTTCAACAAGCTGCAATACATCTTAGCAAAATGTGCTGCTCTGTCTGGGAGTACCTGTGCTGGCCATGGTGCTACCTGCACACGGGGCACAAGGCCACGTTTAGGAGCTGTGCCTGGCTGCCACTGAGTAACCTTACCTTGCGAGCATGATGTTGGAGCTGGGGTTGCTGGTGGCTGGCCCGGAGGGGCTCCACTTTATGGTGTAGATCTCTTTGTTGTGAGCCTGAAGGTCATGGACACATGTGTCCTGCTTCATACTCCAGATCTGGGGAGGCATATTGAGAGCTCCATGAACAGGCTGAATAGGCAGTGGCCCTCAACTAGAAAGATTATCACTCCGCTCCAAAAAGCTAGAGCACTGTGGGAGCTGCAGACAGCACACAGGCTACTGCTGCCCAGGAAGGGCCCCAGCAGAAAAGGGGGCTAACGCTTTGGGAGTCACCGGAGAGAAAGGCTGGAGGAAGGCCAAAGCTCTCAGCAGGGTCCTTGGCTGATAAACAGGCGTTAATTAGACAAAACGCTAACAAGGTTTTTTTCCTCTGCCAGTTGCTGCTGAGTTGACTCCAAGTCATGGCGACTCCGTGTATGTCCGAGGAGAACTGTGCTCAGTGGGGTTTTCAATGGTTGTGAACTTTTTGGAAACAAACCGCCAGGCCTTTCCTCTGAGGCACCCCTGGGTGGACTCGAGGCACCCCTTGGTGGATTCGAAGCTCCAACTTTCTGGTTAGCAACCGAGGGCACTTACCATTTGTAGCCCCCAAGGCCTCCAAGGATCAAGTCAGTGATGTGAAAAAATTAGAGGTAAGACGTGCGCAGTAACAAAATAATAACCCAAAGGGGCAGTGGGTGTCCGGCTGCCACCTGTGCACATGGGGCGTGTGGGACGATTTTACCTTCAACGTCATGTCATCAGAGCAGGATGCGAGCAGCAATCCAGAAGGATCCCACTTGATTGCATTGACCTCATTCTGAAAGACAGCAGATGGTTTTAAAAAGAAAGAAAGGTCTGTGACCAACTGGAAGGTTAGACAGCAAACCCAGAGGGCAGTGAGTGCACGCACGTTCATGGGGGAGAAACAACTCGGAAAAGGAGGGCAAGGACGGCCACACAACCTGGAGAATGGAGTCACTGTCACTAAATCGGACACGGAGAAATGGTTCAATTGGTCTGTGTTCTACTGGGTAGAGTTTCAACAAGAACAAAACAAAAAGGCCTGTGAGTAGGAAACACAGCTCTCCAGCAGGGGGTGGCAGTGCCCTTGTCAGTTTTGCAAACAGCAAATTTTGATTTACTCAATGTGGCTTAAGAACACGTAGATTCTCCTGTTACTCTTACCCTGCCTTTCTCACTTATATAAAAACACAGCCACATACCATACAAAACCAGCCAACTTCATCCGTATTTATTAATAATAATAATAAAAAAATGTTTTTTTTTTTTTTTAAATTGCAACTGGGAAGGAAGCAAAATGAAGAATTTACATAGAATAAACACTGTAAACAAAACCAGTAAAATCCATTATTTTCCAAACAACAGGCCCATAAGGTGAACAATATCACCAACCAGGTACACACACTGGACAACGAGATCAAGAGGGTAGCGTCTGCCTGGGGATGAAGCTCAGAAGGCAGGGAGGGACAGGAAAGGAGGACAGGGGAAATGGTGACCACAGGGAGGAAGTGAGAAGAGTGAAGTTACATTATGGGGACTGCAATCAATGTCACGAAACAAAATGTGTATGAACTGTTGAATGGAAAACCAACTTCCTCTGTAAGCTTTCACCCAGATCACAAGAAATAAACTGCACAATTTAAAAAAAGCAAACCACAGTTAAGAGTAGACTTTGAAATTCACTTTTGTATGCATTTTGAATACAACAGTTACTTTACAACTGTACCAGCTCTTTCTCTTCTAGGGGTGAATGAGGTGGAGGGGCGTGGAGTAAGAAATCATACATCAAATCATACGTCAATTTTGGTTCTAACTACAAGAGCTCAACATGGAATGGGGGCAACCCGGGCTGGACTCAGTGTGACCACAGTTCACAAACACATGTGTAGACAGACAGACAGACACACACACAAGAAAAACAGATGCGTGTGCTCAACACTAGGAGGTCCCTGGGTGCCACAAACACATCCATGCTTGTCTGCTAACGAAAGGTTGGTGGTTCAGTCCACACAGAAGCACCACGGAAGAAAGGCCCGTTGATCTACTTCTTTACAATCAGCCATTGAACGTGTGTGGAGCACAGTTCCGCTCACACATAACAGGTCTCCCGGAGGCAGAATCCACCTGGTTTGGTTTTTGTTCTTGGTCACAGGGAGGAGCACATATACAGTCTGAAAAACACAATCCTTGCCTGGAGGTGGGGCCTGGGGGACGTGGCAACTCATAATTCAGGGCAAATAAGCAAGTTAATAAAAGGCCGCAACACGCACCAGTTCAGGTCTAACAGGTGGCTCTGGCTGCTATGGGGCAGGAAGGAGTGAGGCTTCCAGAGTGTTCTCCAGGCCCAGAGGTCCAGGGGCCCCCTGGCTAAATCCTGGAGGGTACAGGGCAAGCAGAAGCTTACCCAGGAACCACCTGGGCAGAGTTGTGAGGCAGGAATGGTGTGCTGAGCGGGACGAATGGCAGAGATGGTGGGTATGTGACAATCTGTGGGACACATAGGGCTGGTGGTGGGGACAGTCCCATGGATGTCTGTACCACTGGGTGGGTTCAAATCCCCAATCTTTAGGTTAGTAGTCGAATGCACCCAGGGACCTCGAACTAACTCCACACTCACTGAATTTTAGCATTAATCTCACAGGCGTAAGTGCCCTGGTCTGGATCATAAGTTATATGGTCACACTAACTTTCCGAGGACACTCAGCTCTGAAGGGTGCTAGAGGAGGAGCAGGAGGCTTGGAGTGTGAGCTGGGGAGTAGTACAGTGAGGTCAGACAGGAGAGGGGTATGTGTGATACAGAGGGTCTAGGAGGACCACAAGAACACCTGGGGCTGATATCTTTGGGCCCAGAGAGCAGAGCCGGTCACATTTACTGTCCCCAGCTGAACCACTTCAGTCCTCCAGGGAGGGATGGCTCCTGTTATGGGAGAGGGACTCTTCTTCCCTTCCTTCCTCACAGTCTCTGGTTGGTGCAAATGGTTAACGTTGCTTGGCTGCTACTAAAAAGGCTGGCAGTTTCAGGCACCTAGAGGTGTCTCAGAAGTAAAGGCCTGCCAATCTACATCCAAAGATCAGCCCCTGAAAACCCTACTGAGCAGAGGTCTACTCCATTAGTCAGAACAGACGCCACAACTGGTGGGCCTTTTCCTTTTCCTCTCCCCCTCTGGGACTCAAGACAAATTCCTGGGGGAACACCCAGAAATGGCTGAAAGGTCTTAGGGAGAAAGAGGCTCAAGTATGTTTAGCTCCTGTTTTGTTCAGCATGAGCGGCTGTAATAAGACCTATTTAAAGACCCTGGTGGTATGATGTGGGGCAAGTCTCCAGTGGGTGAGCTAGCTGGGAGCTGCAAGACTTTAGTGCAGCTGGATTAGCAGTTTGTCTGGATTCGTTTGGCAGAGGAGGGGCGGCCTAGGATTAGAGAAGCAAGTTTAGGCCAGAGAAATAGAGAGAAGGACGGGCAGTTTTGAGCAACAGAGGGTGTGAAGAAGACAATGCCTACACTCTAAGGCACTTTACCACTGGGGCAAAAACCGGGAAGGTAGGCGCAAAGAAAACAAGCAAGTGCTGAGGACAAAGGAATTCATGCTAAGTGAGTGACTCCAGGAGCTGGGATCCCCTCCCCCTACATGAACGCGATGGTTTGAGATCGCTGATTCAATTCATATCATTTCCTGGTGCTGAACAGAAAAAAGGAGGAAGCTATGGATCCCACTCTCGATGCGCTCTGCATCTCCTGAGTGAGCCAGTCACATCAACACCACAAGCTACCAATGCCTGGCACTGCCAGCTCAAGACCGAGGTGTGCACATGGGCAATGGGGACCCAGGTGCGAGCCTGGGGATCGAGTGCACAGGAAGCCAGACAGAAGAGGACGTTTGAACGGGGTCTTGAAAGATGGGAAGGATTTTGTGTTGAACCACGACCAGGGAGTGCTGTGAAAGAGTCTGACATGGGGAGCACTCCAGGCAGAGGGCCAGAGGCAGCAGGTCTTCCAGTAACATTGAGGCACAGGGGCGAGACGGGAGATCCATTGGGTAAAGAACGTGGTGAGCTGCGCCGGGAAATCTGAGGAAGAGCCAGCTGCTGTCCACAGTGCTGCTATGGGACATTTTCCTCCACTGCTTGCTTCAGTTGTTCAGAATGACCGGCTGTAGTGAGACCTTTATCACCAATTATTAGCATTTCACGGCCATATGCCTACAGGGGTGTGTGTGTGGTTCTCTTTATTTTTTCCTGCGTGGGGTCTGCTGAGTTTCTTACAAAGTTGATGTTTATCACCAATTGGGAGAACATGGTCACCACTGTCTCACATAACTGTTCTGTTCCATTTGCTCTTTTCTCTCCCTCTGACACTTCAGTTACACAGATGTTGGACACTTTATATTATTCTATAGGCCAGTACAATTTTTCTGATCTATCTTCACTTTTACTAATCTTATTTCTGCAGTCTGTTAAGCTCCTCCACGAAGACCTTCCTTTCAGGTATTGTATGTCTCATTTCTCAATCTCCCATTTGTTTGTTTAGTTTGCCTTTTTCTGCTGAGATTCTCCTATTATGACCATCTCCTGCTTTATGTCCTTGTATGCTTTTATAATATCTACTTCAAAATCTTTGCTGCAAATTCCAACATCTGGCTCATCTCAGGGTTAAGTGATGTATTTTTTTTTTTTCCTTTTTGATAAACTATGTGTCCCCTTTTCCTGTTTCTTCATGTATTTAGTAATTTCTTATCATATGCTGGACATTGTGGAAGCTACATTTAGGGAGTTTGAATTTTTTTCCTCATTTATTTTCTTTTTATTTGAAAAAGGGTTGAGTTTTGTTCTGGCAGACAATTAAATCCTGCCTCCTTTGATCCTGGCAGGCTTAGTTTTATTCTTTGTTAGGGCAGGTCTATTTTGGTTTGTCCTTAGACCTCAGGTATCACCTTTACTCTAGGGTAAGATCCTTATTCCTAGGGTGTATCCTTTCTGGACTCTGAGGTGCTCAATCTCACCATTATAGCTTGGCTGGAATTCCAGTGCCTCCCAGCAATGTCCTCTTCACCTCTCATTTCTGTAGCAGCCAGTCTCTGCTAGGCGTCATGGAGTTTTGCCCTGTATGTGTGTAGCTCTGAAACTGGCCAGAGATCTGCAAACTCTTCTCTGGCACTGCTCCATCCTATCGTCTCCAGAACCTTGTACTGCCAATTCCAGCTGCTTCCTCAGTCCTGACTGCTATCTGCGCCTCCCCAACTCTGTGCCACCGACACTCTGCTTAGCCTCCACTGCAAAGCAAAGTGAAGCCAGGGTGAAAGTGGAACTTACGCTGTGTATTGCCTTCTCCCAGGAGTCACAGTCCTGCTCTGACTGTTATTTAATGCCTCAACACTGCTGCCTCCTGCATTCTGTCCACTTTTATCATTGCATTTAGTAAGAGAGGAAGTCCAGTACCAGTTACTTTGTAGGGGCTGGAAGTTTAAGTGCATGCAAAAGAAGCTGCCTTGTATCCAGCAGACTTCAGTGGTCAATCTTTTCTTTCTACCGAGACACATGGCAGATGGCACTTAAACACATACGTGCTTCTATAGGTTATCCTTATTTTGGGAGATATGCTATAGGTAAGTCAAATTTGCCTTAGGTGAATCTGACAGCTTTGGACTCACTTTCTTACTTCTTATCAGTCACTGGGGTGGGCTATAAGGAGTCTTCAAACGTTTTGCTAAGCAGGGCAATAACATGATTGTATCATTTTCTTTTTAGAAAAGTGATTGTGGAAGACAGATTGAAGGGGGGACTAGGTAAAAGAATTCTGAACATTTATACATGTGTACATACATATACATTAGTGCCCTCTTATCCTGGTTTCACTTTCTTGGGTCGCAGTTATCCACCGTCAACTATTGTCTGAAAATGTTAAATGAGTAGAGTGATGAAATCTCACACCATCCTTCCTGGGACTCAAATCACCCCTTTATCCAGTGAATCCACACTGTATATGCTACCAGCCCATTAGTTATCGACATTAATTTTACTGTGTCTAATTTATAAATTAAACTTTATTGTAGGTATGCATACATAGGGCAAAACACAGTCTATATAGGGTTCAGTACTATTCAGTTCCAAGCATCAACTGGGGGTCTTGGAACATACCCCCACAGAGAAGAGGGGACTACTGTACTGTTCCTGTAAAAGCAGGAAGTGGCATAATGTAACTTGTGTTAATTAAAAAATCTTTTTGAAAGACAGTCATGTTTGTTGGGTGGTATAACCCTCCTTCACTCAGTTTCTCAACTCAAACTCATCATTACTACTGCCATTAGCCACCCAAATCTAGGTTGATCCAAGCATCTGGGGTAGCCAGACCAGCCCAAGAATGCAGAACTGGCCTACAGACCAAGTTTTTTTTTTTTTTTTTTTTTTTTTTTTTTTTTTTTTTTTTTTTTTTTTTTTAAATACTACTACTTTCTTTAGTGTTTTCAGCAAAGGTTTACACAAGATATTAGGTTCCCATTTGATAATTTCTACACAAATTGCTCAGTGGTATTAGTTACATTTTCTACAATGTGCCAGCATTCTCTTTGTGTTCTGGTTGTTCTCTTTCCAGTGCTCTAGTTTCCCTGCCCTCTTATCTTCGCCTCTTTGCTTTAGAGTCACTGTTGACCTTCTGGGCTACCCAAAGCTAAAACCCACTGCCACTGAGTTGATTCTGACTCATACTGATCCCCACTGGGTTTCCAAAGCAGTAAATCTTATGGAAATAGATTGTTCCATCTTCCTTCTGTTCTGGGCAACAGTGCCTTTAAATTATAGGTATAAAAGCAATAGCTCCCACCTCCCAGCACACTTTCATGAACTCAAGTCCAGTAATCAGAATTCTCACTTACTGTGTGTCCTTGGAAGGTTTTGACTGGGCGGTCACAGCCGAGTCTGCACACATGGATACACATGTCTGTGCTACAGGAGGCAAAGGTAGTGTTGTTCTGCCAATCCACATCCAGAGCGGGGGCTGTGGGGCAGGGAGCACAGGGAGGACATGGCACTATTAGTCGTGCACAGAGCTCAGCTGACTCATCAGAATAGGGAAGCGCACAGTCAGGAAGCCTTATCTACTAACACAGTGACAGATGATCCCAGCTTGTACACAGCCCTTTGCCTTCAAAGACGTGAAAGACCCTCTCTGTCTATATCCAAAGGGATGACAAAACACCCCTGCAGGGAGACTTTGTAACTCCCCTTGCCCTACAGTGTACAGTGTTTCTCATTCTCATGTTCCTGTATAGGAAAGGGTGAGTGTGAGGTGCACGGCTGCCTGTTTCTGCTTCTGGGAATATCGCTGTGGTGACTGAATTTTATTTGCTTTCAGTAAGGAGGAGGAAAGAAGGAGGGAGGAAATGACTTCCTATCTCATGTTCGAGATCCTCCTATTAAAAGTCTCCCATTCCATTGGCTGTACTTTTCACATTTCTTAAAATGTTTCATTTAAGTCATGGCTCCATGAATCCAGGACAGATTTCAGAAGTCCGCTTACTCAAGAGTCCTTACAATCAATTCTCATAGAATCTTGTGCAAATATTTTTAGGGGGCAAAAAAAAAAGATTAGTTATTTTTTTAAGAAAAGGCTTCAGATGAGCTCAGCTACATTTATGAACCTATGTGCAGCTCACGCTTCTGGAAATAATTTCTAGAATACACACACACACACACACGTACATTCTATTCTAAGAACCTGGTTTTCATGACCTAGAGAGTGGGGTGGCAGAGTAATTGCCAGGTAAGAAACTACTAGCTTGTTCTGGTAATTCCAAGTTGGGGCATTTGCTCTGTTGGTTTTCTATGGTTCTAAAAAAGTCCTTGAATTTGGACAGGCTCTTTTGCAAATGAACCTGCTTTTACAAACAGAGTGTACACTGTGGCCTTTATTAAACCCAGGTTTGCCTCATGTGTCAGTGCACATGCAATTGGCCTATGCAGGGTCACCGGAGGGACCAAAGGTTCTTTTTAGAATTTGAACCATAAAAAGGCAGTTTCTGGGGTGTGTGTGTATTGCTTATATACCGTGATGGGGAGGGAAGAGTAATACTGGCTTTGTTGGACCCTTACTGCTTTAGCCTTCCTCCTACCAGCTCCTCCTCTATGTGAACTGCTCTGCAAAGGTGCAGAAAGCCAAACTCCACTGGGGGTGCTGTTGGCAGGAAGGATGAGGGGTAAGCAGGGCGGAAGAGGCTGTGTCTGGGGAAGAGTTCGTATAGTCAGGATGGGCTCTTGTATTGGGTAGGTGCCAGGGATGTCCCCAAGAGAGGCAGTAGGGTGATGACAATTCTACCAGCCTGCTGAGGCCAGCCTCACTCATCTCTTTTCTTAAATACCACTTGTCGTCTCCATTACGCAAGGCCCAATATAGGTTTCCTCTTGCTCTCCATCACTCACACACATTTTGGCCTTGATGCCACACAGTCACCTGGATAGCCTGCCTTTTCCCCTTAGCGCTCTAATTCTGCTGTGACTCTCCCTCCACATGCCCAGAGCATGGGTGGCCAGTTGGACATGGGGAAGGTGAGCTTCATGGCAGGGCTGCAGGTCAGTTCCCTGGACTGACATTCTGGTGCCGGGTGCAGGGACTCCCCCATCATCCCCCGAACTTGACGGGTTTGCAGAAAATGCCTCATGACACCCCATTATAGGCTACTATGATTCTCATTTTTCAAACAACATCACCTAAAGCATGAGGAGTCAACAGACACTCAATTCAATAGTCCCTGGGAGGCCTTGGTTTTGGTTTACGATCAGGTGAGCAGCTGACAACAAAGAGCTGGCATGACTGACACACAGCCGGAATAAATATGAACCCCACTCCCTGACCTGATCTCTCCAGCATGTATCACATTTGCCACACACACATTTGGAAAATAATAAAGAAAGAAAGAGGTAGTATGATATGAGAAGAAAACAGATTAGACTCCAAATCACATAACCTCCTTGAGTACAGTGTTCTCATCTAAAACACCAGGACAAGGGATGGCAAGTGTTTTCCATGAATGGCCAGAGAGCAAACATATTTAGCTGTGGGGCCATCAAAACTACTCAACTCTACAGAAACCAGCCATACACAATATGTAAACAGATGGGCATGGCTGTGTTCCAGTAAAACTTTATTTACACTGCCCCTTCCCTTTCTCAGTGTTCAAATAACATATGTGACCCTGCACAAGTCCATTTTCCATAACTACAGGGATTCCATCAGCCGCCATGTTCACCTCCATCCCCAAGGACAATGTGGGTGTGCAAGGATTTGGCTGAGAGCCAGCAGAGACTTTTTCCACAGTGCACATCACCAGGGCAAAGGTCTCCTCCCTTTGTTACACCCTAGCAGAGTGCTGAATGACAACCCCAAGGTTCCTGGCACATTTCTCACATGTGCCCAGAGGAGTAAAGGGAATAATCGGCTCTGCTGGAATGATGATCCGTGAGCCAGAGGGCAGAGCCTGCAGCTGCTCTCAGTCTCACATGGCATGAGTGAAATGATGCGTTCCAGTGGTGGCCTGTGCATTCTGGGCTGCTGTTAATATACTTGGAGATGTGACTATTTTATGGGATGGGGCTGTTCAGAAGATAGTGACTCGTATCAGGTCACAGAAGTTAATGCCTGCTGACCCTTGCAATGCAAAAGAGAGGGAACTTAAGTAGTTAGGGGCCTGATCCATTCTTAGTTGCTCCTGGGTGAGCCAGGACTTGAAAGCCTAACATGATCACAGCAGTCCTGTGGATGAGAGACAGGAAAACAGGGCTGAGCTGTTCTGGGGGTTTGTGCACCATCCCTGCCCACATATGGACCAATGAAGTCTATTAGCCAGTGCCATTATGAGTACAGACACAACTTGCTTTTTTAATGTTTAAAAAATGTATTTTTAAAGCTTTTATAATAATTAAATTGACAGGAAATTGCAGAGACAGCACAAAGGTCTTGATACCCTTCATCCAGCTTCCCCCAATGTTTACATCTTACATAACCATAGTATTTATTGTATTAAGAGTAGGCAGGTGACATTGGTACACGGTGTGTGTACACTGTTATGATTATTTTATCTCAGCTGTAGAATTGTGTAACCACCACCACCATCAAGATGCAGAACTATTCCATTCCCACACCATCTCCCTCATGCTACACCTTTATAGTCACACCTACCTCTCTCCCACCATCCTGAACCTCTGGCAATCACTTATCTCTTCTCCATCTCTATTGTTTTGTCATTTTTGAGATTGTTCAATGAACAGAATCAAACAGTATGGGCCCTTTTGGGATGAGCTTTTTTTCACTCAAGAGAAAGCTATGGTGGCACAATGGCTAAGCACTTGGCTGTTAACTGAAAGGTTGACAGTTCAAACCCAGTCAGCACCTTTGTGGAAGAAAGACCTGGTGGCAATCTGCTCCCATAAAGATGACAGCTTAAGAAACCTTACGGGACAGTTCTCTGTCACACTGGGTCACCATTACGTCAGAATTGACTTGATGGCACCCAACAACAACAACAGAATGTCCTGGAGATCATTAAACTTGCCAGGAATATCAACAGCTTGTGTCCCACTCTTACTGAGCAGTATTCCAGAGTTAGGGTTTTAGCTAATGCTTTCAGCTTATGATGACTGGGGGCACCCTTAGAAAACCAATGGGGGCAAGGTAATTTCTCAGATCACTCTATAGTGATGGGCCTGGGACTTCCAAGGAAAGGTGCTCCTCACACCTCTCACCAGCTGCATTTCACCTGGGAAGGCAGAATTCTCTTTTCTTCTACTCTGGGTAACCCTTAGCACACTGCTCCACACTGAACAAGAGCACATAACACCTGAAACATCCTGACCAGGTGTTGGGATGTGGGTCAATCCCACGGGCAGAATACTGCAGGTCAGACGCATGCACACTCATCACAGAAGAATTATGTGGTTTGTGGTCTTCTAGGGCCAGTTGATGGAAAGCCCATCCATGGAGTCCTGGGAACGCTTGGGAATATTATGATCTGCTGACTTTCTAAACAAGGGACCTCACTGATGTGTATCTTAGGCATACTGTTCTCTGACAAACAGGAGTCAGAGCTCTTGTGCTACAAATGATCCTCCCATTCCACAGATTGCCCTGCCCGGTATTCTGGTATTCCATGGCTGTGAGCCTATCACTGGACCCTTCCAGACAACAGGGGGAGGGATTGTTTTGGCATGTGTGCCAAACATGAGGGAAATCCACCAGAGACAATGTTCTCACTTGGTAATTGCTTTGGCTTGCACAGTCCAGATGGATGGAGACAATGCAGGCTGGGCTGTCAGGGCCCACAAAATGGGGAGTGACTCCTTTAGGGGTGACAGTGGCTATGATGGCACAACAATGTGAATGAGCTAAGTGTCACTGTTAAGGATCTGTGCCCCTCAAATTGAAGATGTTATCAGTTGCTTGAAGTCCTACTGAAGTAGGGTGGGTTCTGGTCCCATCTGAGTGGAGTCCTTATAAAAAGAGAGACACCGAGAGAAGATGGCTATGTGAAGATGGAGGCAGACATAAGCAAGACGTGTCTACAAGCCTAGGGACACTGAAAGCTGAGAGAGGCATGGGACAGGTTGTCCCTCAGAGCCTTCACCAAGAATCAACATCGTCAACACCCTCATTTGGACTCCCAGCCTCCAGAACTGTGAGACATCACATTTCTGTTCTTGTAAGCCACCCAGCTGGTGGTACTTTGTTACAGTAGCCCTAGGAAATACATAGTCACTAATAATAACTCTTACATTATGGGTGCCATAGACCTAGACACCCAAAGCTTCAAACAGAAAAGACACTGATATCCACATACACAATGCCTCAGGGCCAGCTGCTATTGGCTGGATAGACAATGGAAACTTTAACCCCCTATACTCTGAGACGCCTTTAAAGCAAAAGTGACATCTCCTATCAGGGAAAGTGGAATCTACTACCTTTTGTCAACTTTCAGTCAATGTCTTCCAACAGTCTTTTGGTTGTGTGGTGGTTGTCCACCATTGCTTTTAGTTAAGTGTCCACACTGGACAACAGAACAGAGAACAGAGCTGGGAAAGGAAAAGAAGAAAGGTGAGGATCTGGAATTTCTGAATCTCTACACACCTGGTGATCCAGGTGGTCAGGTGTGGCCCAAACACATAAAGGAGTATGGTTAGGGCCAGAGCAGTGGTGGCTACACACGTGTCCAGAAGAGAGCTTGCACAGTAGAGCTGAAGGTTCTCTGAAAGATCTCCTCGCACAGCTGACCACTGGCTGGAGCCAGGGAACTGGGATGTCGGGAGGGTTCTCACCATTCCCTAACTGCTAAGGGTGGCTCACTGGGCTTGGATTGTCTGTATACCTCCTTTTCTTCCGGAGGTCTAGGATTTTGGTACATGCCAGGCAGATGGTACCTATGTGATCAGCTCACAATTAAACTCTGGGTGCTGAGTATCTAAGGAGCTTCCTTGGTAGACGACACTTCACACATGTTGTCACGACTTGCTGGAGGAATGAAGTGTTTATTTCTTGCAGCTCCACGGGGAGGTGGTCTTGGAAGTTGTGCCTGGCTCTCCCTAGACTTTGCCATGTGTGTCTTGTCCCTTACTGATCATGCCATGTGTCCTTGCACTGTGACACATCACAGCTGTGAGTACAACTGCATGTTGACTCCTGGAAGTCCTCTGAGTTAATCACCAAATCAGGGGAGGGTCTTGGGGATCACGACACAGGGTCCTTCTTGGATCACAGGAAGAAGGAGCCCACAACCAATGCTGTGGTTGGCACTCTGTTGTGTTTTCAAACTCTTGAGCAGGTGGATGGGTGGTGAGGGCACTCATATCTTGCAAACCTTAAGAGCAATGCTTTCCATGACTTGTTTTGTCCTTACGGGCTGACCTTCCAGTGCCCCTCCCCCACTCATTCACAATGACGTGAACAGACATTTCACAGGACTCTGAACTTCAGAAACGAGGGACACTCACCTGAGTGGAAAGGGAACTGTTGTTTGGCTTCTCCTGTGTGGGCATCCCAAATTATTGTTGTCTGTGCTCCGGAAACAAGAGAAAAAGTTAGGGTACAGGACAATGAATCCCTCCTCTTCCTCAACCAGTGCTGTCCCACAAAGACACAACAGGAGCCACACAGATAATTTTAACTTTTATGCTAATGACATTAAAAAAGAAAAAAGGAAATAGATAATGGCGTCTTTTATTTCACTCCACTTCAATAGGTAATTCATATAAAAATATTAATGAGATAATCTGACATGCTGTTTTTCACCCTAAAGCCCCAAATTTAGTTGTGGGTAAGCTGACTGCAACTCATGGCCACCCACGTGTGCAGAGTAGAACTGTGCTCCATAGGGTCTCAAGGCTGGGACCTTTCAGAAGCAGACTGCCAGGCCTGTCTTTTGAGTCACCTCTCGGATGGATCTGAACCCAAGCACCCAAACGCTGACCTGCTTGCAATATGCAGGGGCTCCCTTTTCATCTTAAATCTGAAATCCAGTGTGTGCTCTACACTTACCATCAGATATGTGGAAAACTACCTAAATCGGTTGGGATTCCCCCTCCACCCACAGCACTGAAAACTGCTGACACAGTCTGTAAGAAAGCCCAACTAAAAAGCCTTCCTGGTGCTCTTCCAAGTGCAAAGAGTCGGAGAACGGCATTTCAGAAAATTCCCGACGCACACTCCATGAACTGGAGGTGCCAGCATCACAGAGCAAGGGGATCTCAGTGGGATCAGCGGGAGCTGGCGGGAGAGGCACCGATCTACCGGTCTGTAAATAAGGAAAGCAAGTGATCTCCACCCGGAGAAACGAAGTCAGTCAAGACCCTTATCATCTAACTGATGAGTGTAGGATGCCACCAGGCAGCTCCACTAAGAGCCCTGGAATTAACGAAATCAACTGGAATGGGTATCTTCATTGGAACCTCTTCTCCTGCCACAACAAGAAAGACTTTGCTTTATTGAGAACTAAGTACGTTCTCCATTGACTGTAGAACTTCTCAGAGGAAATACAGAAGTATCTGTCGAACCTAGTTCACTAAGAGTTGGGTCCACTCTAGACCAGTTAACATCAAAAAAAGAAAAAAAAGAATTGACGTGGGGCAGGGTGGGAAAATTCTTAATGTGTTGTTTCTGGGTGGCGTTGAGTTGATTCCAACTCAGACTCATGGCGATTCCACGTGACAGTATAGAACTGGCCCCATGGGTTTTCTAGGCTGTCATCTTCACGGGAGCAGATCACCAGGTCTTTCTCCCATGGAGCCTGAGGGGGTTTGAACTGCCAACCTTTTGGTTAGCAGCTGAGTGCTTAACCATTGTGCCACCAGGACTCCTTACTTTTTCATGTAGCCGCCCACAAAAAACTCCGGCACTGCAGGAACATACAAATACTTTCACAATTCTATGACACACTTTTACACACTGCATTGGTAATTGCATCATTTAGTCAATGTTTATGTTACATTATGTTCAAATATCATTGGACAAAAAAACCCCTCAATTACATAGAAGTTTTTAAGACTGAAACGAACTGTAGCCACTTTGGGTAAGGCAAACACTGAAGGCAGGGTTCCTATAAATTGCATTTTCTCCTTCCACTTAACTGCCGCCAGCATCGTTACTATTCTTGCCAGGGTCTGAGTGATGGTGGCAGAGTTTATGACCCACAGACCAACAGAATTCCAAATGAGCACATTCACCGATCAGAGTTCATCAGCTGGCGGAATCAGCTACAGAAACACGAATGAAAATGAGAACCTTCAGGTAGAAAGCGGGGGATGACACCAAGGGCTGTAGAGAATTTATGAGCCAGTCATAGTTAAGGAGCTCTGCTGGTGCAGTGGTTAAAACATTTGGCTGCTAACCAAAAAGTCGGTGGTTTGAACCCACGAGCTGCTCCGCAGGAGAAAGATGACGAACTCTGCTTCTGTGAAGATGGGACAGCCTTGGAAACCCTATGGGGCAGTTCTACTCTGTCCTCTAGGGGTGCTGTGAGTCAGAATCGACTCCATGGCAGTGGGTATGGTTTGGGCTTTGCTTCCATAAAGACTGACAGCCTAGGAAACTCTACGGGGCAGTTCCACTCTGTCTTCTAGGGGCACTGTGAGTGGGAATGGACTCATGGAATGGGTTAGTTTATGTCATAGCAAAGTGCTCAATAAACAACAGCTATCATTTTCATGAGTCATTTTACCACTTCAACCAGTAGCTCCTGACAGCCTTCTACGTGTGTGACACGGTGCTATGGGTGCCTAACATCTGAATGAGAACATCTTAGGAAGAGTGGGACTGTAGTTACATGAGAATGTTTAATGTGCCAGCCACAGTGGCTCAATTTGGATTTACATTATATACCAGGCTGTCAAGTTTGAGCAGAGCTTCTTGGCTTTAAAGAGAAAATGAAGGAACTGTTGACTTAGATGTTCTACTCTAGAATGGGGGTTGGCCAACGTTCTATAAAGAGCCGGGTGATGCATGTTTTTGACTTTGTGGGCTGGGCAGTCTCTGAGGCAACCACTCAGCTCTGCTACTGTAGTGGGAGAGCAGCCATTGACAACTAGGGGTGGCCGTGTGCCAATACACTGGATTGGCCCGTGAGCTGTACTTTGCCTGCCCCTGCCCTAGGATAACACATCAACACAGGTCCCTACCAAACAGATACAGCCATCGAGGCAGCTCCAATTCATGGCGACCCCACGTACAACAGAATGAAATGCTGCCCGGTTCTCCTGATCATTGGTGTTTGATTACTGATGTCTGAGGCCTCTACAAATGCATATTCTGACTTTCCCAAGAGTGGGATGATGCTTCGAGGCCAGGGCTATTATTTCATATTAATTTGTAGAAGGTGAAAAAAAGGAAGCAGTAACCGAATAACATCTTCTAATTATTCTGACATCACTGAAAATGCAAAGCCTTTTGGAGCCTGAACCAGCCCACAGCAGTACCCAGGGATGGTTTGCAAGGCTACGACTTTTCAGAGGCCTCCTGTTTTTGGAGGCACCACTAGGTGAGTTTGACCTGCCAACCCTTTGGTTAGCAGTCCAGTGCTTAACCGAGATGTGCCACCCAGAGACTCCTATGACGAGACAGAAATTAACAGCAGGAGACTAAAGCATATTAGTGGTTAGCAGGGGTGAGTGAGAGGGGGAAAGAGCCATTGGTAGGGGGCATGAAGCCTCTGTTAATGGTGGTGGAATCATCTGGAAAAGGACTTGCAAACATGATGAACACAATTACTGCCAATAAATTGCACCGTGCAAATGGTGAAACTGGCCAATGTTTTGTTATTATATATATTTACCACAGTTAACAAAATGTATATATCTTCTTCATTCACGGAAAAAAAAAATCAACAGCAAGATCAAAACAGCAGAAACAAATAAACCTGAACAAGTTCACCTGATTTCTCAAGGGGAAACAAACAGCGAGCCTTAGAAATAAAAGAAACCATGATGCTATCTAGAGATTAAAATGAAGTAAGTATTTCTGGATTAAAGAGAAGCACTTTAAGTTATACTCACTTTGTCTACACCGGCACTCAAGATGTAATTCCCCTTCTTGTTCCATTTCAAGGCAAAGATGGGGCCTTTATGTTGGCCTAAGGTGCTGGCCAGGTTGCCTGTTATGTGAAAAAAAACAAACATGCTGACTTCAAAGCCACAGTCGGTTCACTTGCTGCAAACATCCCGAAACACCTCTTATCCTACTCGAACACAAGGGACGCAGGACTCACCGTCTTCCGTCCATATCCTCGCAAAGCCATCATAGGAACCTGTAGCCAATAGCGTTCCATCGCTCTGGGGGCCAGAAAGAAACACAAAGCCACCACAGCAGCTCAGTCACTGCAGTACTGGAAGAGCAGAGAGCGCCCCTCCCGTGACCCCAGGGCCAGAGCTGCCACCAATCACTCATCCTTCAATGTCAAAGTACCCTGAATCTCACTTGATGCCTCTGGCTTCACTGCCCTTCAGTCAGGACATGAGGCTCACCGTGGAGAAACAACTACTCACTGTGCTTTCGCTGTTCAGTTATTTCACACCATAATTAAAAATACTGCACAGAAAGTCAGAAGGCTTTAAAGTCTTAGATACAATTTTTGAAAATCTGTTTTCAGAGGAAAACAAGATTTGGGATGAAATGCCAGAACTTGCAGACACACCATAAAAAGCAAAAAAAAAAAAAAAAAACACCCACTATAAAAAAGTACTGAAATATCAAGCAAGCCACGCTCCCCTGGCTGCACATAAAGATGCCCCAGAAAGGTCTTGGGGCTCCCCTTGACCTGGCTCCTCAAAGTGAAGCATTCTCAGCAAAAGCATCAGACTCATCTTACAAACCCATGTCAATAATGGGAGGTGTGGCAGTTCAGTTTGTCAGCTTGGCTGGGCCTGGTTGAATGAATGGCTGGGCAGCTGGACATAGTATTCCCCATTACGAGACTGGCAATCAACTCCATGGTGGAATCTACTGTGAGCAGCTGAGTAGCTGCCTTAGGGAATGTGTCTGCTTCCTGTATATAAGCAGAAGCCTCGGGGAATGGCCTCTAGCATGTGGCACCTTGGACCCTGCATGTAGCCGTGTCGTTGTTCAGCAGCCTGCCATGTTCTGCTGACCTTGGGATTTACAATGAACTTGAATTAATGGCCTGCCATGTGGTTTGGTAACATCGGGACTGTGCCTTTTTACTTGCCTATTTTGGGGTTTTTAGCCTCAGCAGCCGGCAGCTGTCTGAGTGAAGAAAAGCCTCTAGCTTCAGTGGGCCTGGGGCAGGAGGCAGAGCTGGACCCCAAGGTTGAGGGGCTTTCACCCAGCCCCTAGAGCCTGGCACTTTGAACTTAGACTTAAAAGCCTCCAA